CCTCTTAAAGTTGCCCAGGTTGAAAAACACAGGGTTAAACAATGGCGAAACAGGAATGCCAACTGCTCATAGCTGATCCTTGCACCAGATTAGGGCTCCGCCCTGGCAGAGCAGCAAACCTGGAAGTGGGATGGACGGAGGGCGGCCGGACAGGGAAGCGATAGCAGGGGCGGGGCAGCGGAAAAGCCACCGTTGTCCCACAAGGTCTGCGTGGGAGGAGAGTGACAAAGCCCTGTTCTCTATGCCCTGCTCCCCGTCCTCTTCCTTGCTCAAGAAGCGCCGCTGGGAACAAAGGGCAGACGGGGATGCCGCCCACACAAGGATAGTGCCACGTGGCGCCACAAAGGCCGAATCAGGCGCTTTGACCTGTACCCGTCTGGGGCAGCTGCAGGAACCCCAGCGCCTCCTTCCCACGCAGACCTCTGCACGAAGGGGCATAAACGTCCTGCCAGAACCTCGGTTAGCACCCTGCGTCAAGTTGGATGAGGAAGATGGGAGTTGGGCTCCCTGTCCGACATGATGTCTGGGGATGGTAGGGGGTCAGCGTCCTTTGTACTTGGAGGATCTGCTACAACTGGAACTTGTGGCGTTCCTTACTTCTCTCTCGTGCCCACGGGCACATCGCAACGAACGTTCTTCCATCTACCTGGCATCGTGGAATGGCTTGCTCCTTCAAGGCACTGCTGGGAGACTCCACGGCCTGCCTATTCTGGACCTCAGAAAAGAACTGGATTGTGTTGAGTTCCAGCCCCTTTCCCTGGCCTTCTGCCCGTTTTTCCACAAGCTGACCCTTCAGAATCCCCAGAATCCCCAGCTGGTGCCACCGTAGGGAATCCTGGGAGTTACAGCTGCTCATCCTGGATCCTGCCCACCTGAGGAGGTTGGTTACTTTGGGCCAAAGCTCCCTTCCAGGATCCCAGAATTCCCTTCCTAGCCAACAGAGCCACTGCAGGGGATTCTGGGGGCTGAAGTCCAGGTTGGGAAAAGCTGTGCTGTTCTAGCTCCTACCTTGTCAAGATCCCCATACCTGGAGGTTAATTCTGGCAAATGCAGCTTCTCTCGGCCCTTCCAGGAGGAGCCCCCTCCTGCTCCCACCCACGCCTATTAAAGGGTAGGAAAGGGGTCCATCGGCACCCATTTTGGAAGCTACCCAGTCAGGGCCCTGGGCCTAGTCCTCATTCCGACTCCGCAGGTGGGGCTCTTGTTGCCGACAGGAAGACCAACTCAGAACACCCAGCCTAGGCTACGCTGGATGCAAACCGTCAGCATCGGGCTTCCCAGCTGTTTTAAAAACCCCCAGCATTCCCGTGTGGACATCTGCCCGAGAGGACCCACCCTGGCGTGGGTTTGCATCCAAGCGTGCAAATCCGCTTCTGCGCCAATGGCAGTTCAAGACAATGTGTGAAAACCCACTCTTGATTACGAGGATATGACCGACCGCAAAACGTTTGGTTCTGATTCGAGAGAGCGGCGAGCCCAAGGCAGCTTGTGCACGCTCAGAGGCCCTACAGCAGGGCTGCGCAACGTAACGGTGCCTCCAACACCTCCAGTCCTCACCGATGCTGCCAGCTCCATCATGCCCACCGTGCCGCTAGCCCCCAAACAGCTGATTGGCACGCCAGCTATTCTTTGCAGCCCACGATTATTTTTAAGATGACAATCAGGCTCTTTCCCCTTGACCAGGTGTGCAGGCCCATCCTCCCATGTTCCCTAGCAGGGCAAACAAGTCCCAGGCCTCCCGGGGGGGGGGGGGGGGCTCCCCCCCCGCCAGCCGAAGACAGATTTGCGAGAGGCCCCCAGCTGAATGGGGGCTGCTTGGGGAGGCTCGTGTGCCCTTCAGAGTGACCCGTTTCACGGGGCCGGAGCAATTGCAAACTCCTGAACCCGGCAGATTGTGGTTAAGGGGCCTCTCAGATTAATTCTCTTCTGTCACTGGTGACCCCCCCCTTCTTCCCAGACCCACAAGGAGGCAAACTCCAGCGTGAGCTGGGCAGAGGGCCCTGGAATCTCTACTTATCAACCCATTAGATCTCTCTGCAGTTTAAGCAGGCGGAAAAGGGCGACCCGCATCCCCCCTCCCTCCAGTAGATCCCTCTCCGGCTAGGGCCGGGGACCCCGAACTGCCGCGGGCTCATTAGCAAAGCTTGTTCCAAGTTGGAGACAGGAGGAGAATGTGTGACCTAATTGCGGAGTGACCCCAGGCGACCTCTGGCTCCCAGCCAAGCCGCCAAGCCGGCTGAGCTAATGGGCTCACCCCCCCACTGCACTCCCATGGTAGACGATGGGGGGAGCTCCCCCAAACCCCTCCTTTGACTCATGACGGCCCTTGGACTTGCGAGGGGCGATTTGCAGCCAGGGAGCCGTTTCCTTGCTGGATCCGTTTGTCCGGGCAATTCATTTCTGTCCTGGCAAGGTGGTCCTCTTGGGTTTTGGGTTTGTGTGTGTCCGTGTGTGTGTGTGTGTGTGTGTGTGAGAAAGAGGGAGAAAGAAAGGTTTTCTCCATTCACCCCCACCCCAAATTATGCAAAGTTAAAGGTTAATCCAAATTTCACACACCCATTCAATATGGGGCTGGAATCTCCACGGTCTGTAAGGCCATATTTGGAAGACGACTGTATCCATCGCTGGAGAAAACAGAAAGGCAACTTCAAAGTCTCCATAAAAAATGAAAACAGAGAGGAAAGGAAACGTTTCAGTTTAGTTAGCAAACCCTGAAATGATAAATCCAAACGTCTGAAGGAATGGCTGTGCTCAGACCACCACCGAGCCAAACCAAACTCTGTTTTGGGATGGCCTGGTTTACCCCGCCCACCAAGATCAATCACGCCCCCCCCCCGCATAAC